GTCCTGCCAAGCAAGAGGCTCAATAGGGCATCTCACGGGCAACAGGTTGCGTAGATCCTGAACGGCATCCTGAAAATCAGTGCAGGGGATGGTCTCCGCCAGTGTAAGGGGCACAGGCAGGCGCTCCGGGACGGTCAACTCGAGGAAAGCAGTCCAAACGTCAGAAACGACCTGGCAGACCAGGACAAAGCCCTCATCCCTGGCATCTTCTAGAAGAGTAACCAAATCCCGAACATGGAGAGCAACATCCAGACGGGGGCTGCCCGCATATCCATTCCAGACATCATCATGATGGCAGAGGCCAATGGCATTGCAGGAGGCCGAGTATTGGCCTTCATGTCTCCAAGGTGCCGTGCTATGTTCAACCACAGTGACAGCTCGCAGTTCCTGAAGCTGTACCAGGAAAATAATTCCAAAAAGCCAAAGTTTAGCACCAATCGGCAAGGAGCGTGTCGAAGGCATGCTGCATATGGCGCCGACTGAGGGATTGGCCAGTGCTGAGCAGCTAGGTCGTGAGCTACCAGAGGTGTCCCCATGTCTGCCTTGTGCAAAGGCGTGCTGACCAAAGACTCGGTTCCACATGGTATTACTCCCGTGATGCTGCGCTGACCCACTTGTCCCGGGAGAACGCGGCGAGCCACCACCTGTCTCAACACCATGTGTGGGCAGACTGGCCTCCGGCGCACTTGGTTCTGCCGAACCCTCTGGAGTTCCCTGACAGGACCTGGGTGTGGAATCAGGGCCACTCTCCTGGTCATCATCATCATCACTGTCGCTGCCATCGGACTCGTCGGAGCTGTCTGCGGACATGTACTCCACCTCCTGCCTCTCAAGCTTCACCCAGAACTTATCTCTGTGTCTTGCGATGAGACAGTCCTGTCGCTTCCTACCGCCCTTCAGCCAGAGCCGATAGCCTTCAATGGCTTCGACGCGAATATTGAACTGTGCAAGAGCTTCGCCAACCGGTGTAACAGGACGGGGAAGACGAACCGCGGAAAAGGTTTGCAGGACTGGCCTCGAGTCCACAAACGCGATCAGTTCTGAGCCTGTGAGGGGCGTATCCAGCAAGAAGACAATGTCTGACAAGAAATGCTGGCAGTACATCGGCCGCTCAAAGGGCTCGCGAGGCCTAACCAGCGAGGCAATGGCGGAGTCGATTCCAAGGTCCTCACAAATACGTTGTGTCAGAGCCAAGTCGCTCTCATCCTTGATCGTCGGCAAAAGAAAACTGTCGCCCGCAGAGAGCACCAAAACCCGAGTATTGCCCTGCGGCACATCATAACCATCAGCAAATTCGGTATGTGACCAGTCTGAAAAGTGATCAAAGGCCCACTGCACGTCTTGCACCGTATGAGGCGGAGCAGGATCTGGCGTAAGGTGGACCACGTCGCAATGATCAAGAATCATCCCCGAAGGGTAGCCCTCATAAGCCAACGGATCTCCGTCCTGCGACGGAACAAAGATGTAGTACTCCTGGTCTTCAAGTTCGGGCATGATACGATTGATGCGAGCATATGACACAATTCCATCCTGGAGGTACGCTTGAAACGGGGTAAGCCCGAGGAGAGAGGCGTCTATGATGATCAGACGGCCGAGCGCGCTAAGCACCCAGCTTGGCATCCACTGGGCCTGGAGCTCGTCCAACACCGACTGGCCTTTCAAGAAGAACAAGGCACCTTCGCCTCCCGTACGCCCAACTCCGGCCTCTGGCTCAAGGAGCTCAAGACAGCGCTGTGAAGCTGTTGCTTGCCTCGTAGTGCAGCTGAGGTATTCGGGCTGGTGCCCGAACCCTATAAGCTTGTAAGCACGGGTGACAAAGACTTCAGGCGGTGGATTGAATACCCAAGGAGCTGGAACATGCTCTTGTGCAATGTCAGGGTTTTGTAGAAGACCCGGAACGTCCTCAGCATTGTCCCGATAGGCAGGAGGCCGCGGAAACTCGGTAGGCTGCGCCGCAGGAACTCTAGCAAATGCCGCTTCGGCTGGCTGTAACAAGGAGGATATCAGTAGAAGCAGGATGAAGAGGTCCAAGGAGTATCCAGCCCGCCGTCGGGCAAGCTTCCGCGGAGGGACCGCAGCAACTTGCAATCTGGGAGAAAAGTCACGCAAGCCAGTCCCCATGTCAAGTGGGGCGGCCGAAACAGCGAATCTGGCAATTCGCAGCAGGTTATCACAGTTGTGATCGCCTCCCTTCAGCTGACAGCCAAACAGAAGAAGTCTGCACAGATAGCAAAGGATGATGAGGCAGCCAGGCCTGCAAATAGCCATCAGCCAAAGTCCTGTCCCCTCCAATAGAACAAGCAGCATGTGGGAGAGTCTGCTGGCCCCATCATACACCAATTGATCCACCATACCTTTGAGATGACAAAGCCGCAGGCACACTCCAAAGCGTTGCCCGTAACTTGGAACAGACTGTAAAGAACGCAGGCGCTGATCAGGCAGCATGCATGAAATAGCCACTGCGGCCGTAGAGGACGCAAATACATGTCCGGACAAGATCGACCGGCGGCGTGCGAACGGTGACAATGAAAAACCATTGTAGAGCATGGGCTCAACCGGCAGCCGAATTTGCCGTTGAAGGACCAAGAGAGGTCCAGCCAGTAGACAAGGCCCATCTTCTCCAATGCGAACCACACAAATCGCATAGTCGCCGTCGCATGCAGGTGTAGCCAGCGAGAGATGTCCAGCCAGGCCGTCAGAGGGCCAAACAACCAGACGAATGGAAAAAGTCCACCATAGAACTTGTTGAAACCAAATGGCAGCCACGTGCCCCAATACAGACTGCAAAAATAAACTGTTCAGAGGTGTACTCAAAAGGCCACCATGCAAACAAGGAGGAATAGAAACAAACCATCGACTGAAGAGCCCTGAAAGGGCACAATGTACCTCGACCAGTGAAAGAATCGTATGGAGTTCATACACCCATGTACTTTCACCTGCCCCGTATATTGCAAGTGACATAGCCAGCCACCTGACACTTACGGTCAGCTTGCCAGATAAGGCACTAGAGGCTTGACCACCGACAATGGCAGCGTCCGCCTGTAAAAAGAGCATGCCACTCTGCACACCGAAGTGCCACCGCCCTGTGCAGCCACTCCCAAATGGAAACCACATTGACGGCTCCGTCGGCGCATGACTGGGAACCATAAGCCTCCTGGCTCCGGAAGCCCAGCCACCCCGTCGCCTGTCACACCAAAAGAAAGGATCCTTGGCAACAAGGATCGAAAAAGTCAAGGGCTCCGCCGGCACATGACCGCGCTCTGTAAGCCCAAGAGCTCCAGAGGCACGGCCACCCCGTTGCCCATCACAGCGCCCAGGCCCTGCCAGCAGACTGCAAGCAACGAGTGCTTCAGCCTGCCTCACCGATCTCACAAGCTTTGAAAGTGGGCGGAGCCTCGCCGAGGAAGAAAGCTGTGCCGTTAACCCACAACAGGCACAGTAATGCGGCTGCTCCGCTCCGCCAACTGGGGAAGTCTTGCAGAGTCGTGCCTTGGTCACTCCAAGGTCTGAAGGTCTTGAACACCATAGTGACTGTTGTACCAAGCCTCCAAGTCCGACTCCGATGGCGCTTTCTCCTCCTCGTCGTCGTACAGGATATGGTGCTGGGGGACATCTGGAGGAGCAGGAGGAGCATGCAGCTGCACATCGCCCTCTGAGGGGGCCATATTCTGACCAGCCTCGGAAGCACGGCCATCCCGGCCATGGCCATCCGGAGTAGACAATCTCCTTCGAACACCTGTTGCTGGACTCGACCTCCGTGAGGTGGTAGACGGAGAAACCATGTACGGGTCCGTGCGAGCTTGGGTCTGTCCAGGCGATGCAGAGGCCGTCCCTGTCCTCGACGGCAACGTGTCCCTCGGGAGCTGTGCGCGACTCGTCTGCAGCGGCGTGCTGACTTCCAGGCTGTAGGCTTGGCTTGGCGCAGTGGAGGGGTAGTAACAACTTCTGGCCGTGAGGTCCCCGTGCCGGCAGCTGCCCTTCTCACATCTGCTTGCTGCAATGTCCTTTGGAGGAGGTCCTCGTTGGACTCCTGGTGATCCTCCAAGCCGGAGCCATCTTGCATGATGGCCTCGAACTCCGCCCCGGCATCCATGGTTTCCGGTACACTCGGGCCGGCATCCACTTCCATGCTGGCAGCCACTTTCCTCAGGCTCGATCTTGCACATTCCTGCTCGACGAGGGCCTCTTCCATCTCCCGCTCGAGCCGGGTCACTGCAGTTTGGTATCGGCCACGCTCCTTGGCGTACGTCTTCTTGAGCTCCGTGACCCAAT